TGCAAATAGCACTTTAAAGTTCCATTTATATGGATCTATTTCATCACATCCATTGATGTTGAGTGACATATTCAAACTTTTGATACCCGTTGTTCCAAAGCTTGTTTTAATCATATAATGACTTTACTACTCACACATTTTATTACTTTCCATCGGGTAAGATAACTGCTTGGCAGTTCCACGTAGATTTATACTTCTAAATCTGTGTTTAGAAGTTTTAGTTTCATATCAGAATGATATGCTTCCAAATTTTGAGAAGTTAAACCACATAGAATTATAAGAGCATACAAATGATATTAATCAAGACATTCTTATGTTTGTAATCCAAACAATTATTTCAAATATGTCATCAGCTCTTAATTCTCATTTGGAAATCCACTAAACCGCGGTAATTTCTCAAGCTTAATAGTTCAACCGAGAGAACCATTATTAGTTTTTACAAATTAATCCAATTTGATCTTCTAAGAAACGATCATATGATTCCAAATTTAGAATACTCATATTTCCACTCACAGTCCTTTCAACTTCATATTGAATATCTTAATATTCACCAAAACCTTTATCTTATTTTGATGAATTCCAACCAATATTATTGGATTTAATGAAAATAGTTTCTTGGAGTATAGAAGTATCATTTGATTCTAAATTTTCAAACAAGAAATCGGTGCATATTTTTATTGAAATCATAGACCATTATGTTCTAACTGATTCTCATATTCTTTGGATCTATCTGTTTTCATTTTCCTCATAGTGGTTTGCATACTAGAGGTATATCCACTAGCTCTCATGTGTGATTTGGTAAGATAGAATCCATTTCACTTTTAGTTGCCTCTTTTCATTGAGATATGTCAAAGGAAGTGAATTCCTTTTTGAAAGTCTGAGGCTCTCTTTCAACCATATACATCCATAAATCATCTCCAAATGATTTCTTACTTGTCCCCTTTTACTCCATCATGATCTATTTATTCCTCTATTTCTTCTTCATGAGAGGATTCTTTGTGCCTAATTGTTTTGGAGCACTTTTCTTTTATTTATCAATACATGGAAACACTTTTCAAAGTATGATGCATTTTTTTATTCCATTAGTGTACAAGAAAAAAATAAACACTATTGTTTTGTATATAACCAATAAAGATGCAACCAACAATCTAGTGTCCAATCCTTACAACCCTTGGGTTAGGTATAACACCCTTTACACCCCCACATTCGAATTTATTTGTAAGATGATTTTATACCCGGCCATAACTTAGATGGTATTTTTTCCCCGTTTTCTTTTAGGGTACCTTATTTAAAAGGTAATTAGTTGACAACACAACTTCCCCCCACATTGAGTGTGGCAACCCAAAACATAAGCAACAACATCGCATTCATCATTTCATTTAAGATATGATGTTTCCTTTAGGTGATGTCATTTGTTATGGTGAATAAGGTGCCTTAAGCTCATGTTTAATATCATGACTTACAAAAAATTCCTCAAATGGTGATGCATATTCACCTCCACATTCACTCTTTTTGTTGAGATGATTCTCAACTTCACTTTTGTACAGTTTAAACTTGTACATCTTTGCTTTTAAGTAAATTAACATATCGAAGTTTAATGCAATTGTCAATAAAAGTGATAAAGTACTTATATCACTGTTATGTGGATTCGACTTCATATCACACACATTCGTGTGAATTAATTCAAGGGATTTAGTTGTTCTTTCAACGAACTTGAATGATTGGTATATTAATTTTGACCCAACACAAGTGTTGCATCCATATTTTGACTTATATGAATGTGAGGTATGTGTTCAAGTTTGATTAACCTTCTTAACGTGTCAATATTAACATGTCCAAATCTAGCATGTTACACATTAGAAATTTAAGCAAAGTAAGCGGAAGAGTTATCCAACTCATTGATATTACTCTCATTAGCCAATATATGGAATTTAAACATTCCACCATCCTCATAGACCTTGCCTACAAACATACTTTTTTTTAGGTTAGTACAAACTTATTGGACTCAAACACCAAACAAAATCCATGTTTGTTCAAAAAACCATCCAAACACTAAGTTCATCTATGAAACATACAACACATTATTAAGTGTTAGCTCTTTTCTATGTTATACCATTTCGGGAATGTTTTAAACACCAAATTTAAGTGTTTAGAATCACAATTTCAAGAATAAATTTTTGCCTCAACTTGGACAACCTTATAATTCTTGAGTCACTCCCACTATGAGCACACATGGCGTGTAGCACCCATATCAATCCATCACTCAATGGAGTTAGCATCCATAGAGTTTACTTCGGAAATCGTTCCCTTTTGGATAGTTATAATTCTGAAATAATTTATACCCTAAATATAAATGTTTAGAATTCTAATTTCTAGAAAATATGTTTGCCTATTGTTTGGACAAAACTTAACATAATTAAAAATATATATTTGCACAATTATGAAACTTGATTTCTGATGTAGAAATTCTAAAATTTGATTTCTCATGCAGAAAACTTATGCATAAATTATGATATTAGAAAATCTTATGTTTTCTTTCAACAAAACTATTTAAAATGTGATGTTTTTAAATAAACCCAAACTATTTTCTGATTTCCAAAGTTGTTTTACATAAAATTGAAACTGTTTTTGACAAAACAAAGCCTTTTTGTTTTTCACAAAACAATGTAGTCTATTTAAGACTGTTTTAGCCCCACTTAAACCTGTAAAAAATGAAATATAAGTTCATAATCCAGTAGCCCTGTCTCTTAGCTTTCCAGGGACTACTTTCACAAGTTCATACGATTTTTCTACAATTTATTATAAATTTTACAAAACTGTGTATCATAGTTGTTAAAATCTAACTAGTCAGTGAAAATCGTATTTTTCACCCTAGTTAGAGTTATTTACAGCTTTCGGCCAAAATTAATGAAACGATGTAGACTCATATACCAAAATTTTAGAATTGGTTTCAACCAACAATGAGCATCAGTGATTAAGTTATGATTTTTCAAATATTGGGACAGATTAGAGCATTTCACAGCAACACGTAAATTGTTTTTGAGTAAAGCTAGCTTCTTAACCCATTAGGTACTTAATAGAATCAGTACCGAAGTTGGAAAATCTGATACTTAAAACCAAATACATGTCTTAATGACTTAATGACCAAAGGTGCTTCAAAATCACAAAAAAAAATCCATTTTTTTTATGAAAATCGTACAATATGAAAATAATGTAAGTAAAATTGTTTCCGATTTCTAGTTCGATTCGTACAAACGAATTTTGTTTTAAGATTGTAGGAATAATATTACGGAAATGTACGAAAAACAAATAAGAAATAGGAAAAGTTGAGGCATGTGTTTAACACATTGTCCTTAAAACAAATTCGTCCGCTATCGGGTGTTTGTTTCCCAGGATACAACAACTAGAAGTGGTTCTTCTAGACCACCCGAACCCTTAATAGGCCTGGATTTTATCTTTAATATAGCTAAAAAAAGAAGATGATGAAGTGGGGAAGAAGAGAGTTTTCTTACATTCTTTTGGTGTACTCAAATGGTTGTAGAGTAGTGCTATTTATACTACACATTCTATAACCTCCCATTTAAACACCTATATTAATCACAAAGATTAATGTGTGTTAATATGTAATTAAATTGTAATATTAATTACAATTTCAATTACAAAAGAAAGAAATATTTGAAAGAAAGGTCCCTGAATTTTTCATTTCTTTCTCCCAACCATTAAACTCTTTTATTTACTTCTTCCAACACTCTTAATTTAAGGATTAATTTCTCATTCATATAAATCCATTTTGAACGTGTTAAAAAAATGGGAAAAACCCATTTTTATAAATTGGTTAACACCAATTTTCCAACATATAATTAGTTGAATAGTAGTTATTCTACAGCTAATACTTTGCTAAAAATATGAACGATTGAAAACTCATGTTATTTTGTTTACGCCTAATCCGTCAAATAAGAAATTGATGTTTCCCTATTTCAATCGATATTCTATAAACTGTATAGAAGGATGTAGCATGTGTCGGTGTATGTAAAATTTTGTTATAAAATTAATTTTGTTCGTATCATAACAATTAATTTCCATATGTGTGGAGCCTAATTAAGAATTCTAGCAGGAAAACGTGAAAAAGACTGATGAATTTGAGATTTCGTTGCTTTGTTTCTTACTGTAATAGAAAGACTGGAAAAAAATGCTAAAAAATAGACAAATAAAAGCAAGTATGTTGATCTTTCTTGCATTAAAACTTATTTTTACAATATTGCGTAATATATGTATATTACGGTAGCTTTGATTTCCTAAATCCAAAACTCAAAACACTTAATCCAAAACCTACAATCATGAGCCTTAAACCTGAAACCATACACCCACATATCGTAATATCTGTATATTAAGATAGCTTTGATGCATTAAACGTTCTTTATTATTTGACATGCTTTTGGAAAAAATCTATTTTTCAAAATAAAACTACTCGCATCGAGCCGAAAGGAAACAATTCATCAAAAAGAAACTACTTACCGCCCCCGCAATCATCGGCCGCGACATCGTGAAATAATAACCAGAACAATATATGAGACCGGATAGAAACTATTCTGCCACTATATCTACGAATATATTCACCGAAAGGAACCATTTGGCAAAAAACAATCTGCCAAAATGCTGAAATGAACTAACACAAAAAAGAAACTAATCGTCGGATGAAAACTATCTACCCAAAGGAACTATTTGGCGTTCACGCATCCCACGGGTATCCTATATATATATATATATATATATATAATATATAGATATATATATATATTATATATATATATATATATATATATATATACCAACACACCTATTTTTTCACCTCTACAAATGAAGATGGTGATTTTGATATTACGTAGGAAGCATAACGGTTACAAATACAAATGAAAGGAACCCGATATTTTCAAAATATAAATGATATTTTTTCTTAATAAAGTATTAAGTACGTCACAAACACAAACCAAATGGACAGCCTACAACTTATGGTCAAAGGGCTGAATCCTGTAGTACTCAAAAGGAATAACATATCGTGCGTTGATAGTCTCCATCTCATACTTCAAAAATATGAACACAAATTGCACCCACACTTGCTCAAGAAAACTCAGCGGCCATGAAATTGGAGAGCTCTGAAACCTGCTCCATCCCATCCTCATCACCATCCATGCCATCATAATCACCGTATTCATACACTCCACCATCACATCCATCACAATTCTTTTTCTTGCTTTTGCTTCAATAACTAGTACCATAGCTCAAGGTGTTTATGGGATATATTTACAAGGTGCTGGGTTCGAATTTAACCGGCGTAGGTTAGTCGGAAACCCAAGTAGTTGGGGAATGTGGTGAAGAGTGGGAAGTATTTATAAAGAACCCAAAATGGTTGGTCTCGTGGTATCCTTTGGTTTTTAACTTATCCTTTATAAAACAAACGCAAAAATAAAGGTCTAAATTCATCGACATGTTACTTTTTTTAATGACCTTTCAATATTGTAAATGATTAAAAACAATTTATATATATATATATATATATATATATATATATATATATATATATATATATATATAAAAGTTCAATTGAGAAAAATAAAAAAAAATATGTAGAATCGTGGAATCATTCTCAACTAATCATTTATTTTTGCTGCAAAACGCTCCGACTTACCGAGGCGACGAAAGATGATAAATATTCATATATAAATATAAATATAAATGTATACATATATAAATATACCACCTCCTTTCCGCTACCAACCACCACCACTACTGCCACCTTCGCCACCACCACCACAACGGCAACCAACCACCGCCACCTCCGCCTACCACCTACCGCCTCCATATTCATATATGAATAAAAACTTCCTATATACTTATTGACATATGAATATATGTATTCATATACAAATACACTTATTATCATATGAATATACATATCTATATACGTATTAATATATGAATATGACATATTCCGTCGGTCCGGTACACTAGAGCGCTTAAGAGACAAATTCGAAATGACTGACCCAGATTCATTCCCTAATTCTTTACATTTTATTTTCTCAATTCAACTATATATATATATATATATATATATATATATATATATATATATATATATATATATATATATATATATAATCAAGATCAAATAAGAAGGAAAATTTTGATAGGAATGTAAGAAACTTTTCATATACATATTTTTTAGCAAACAAACAAAATGAATCATTAGATGATTCAAAAGTAAGATGATTCGTAAGAAAAAATTTCAAAAAAGAGACCTACATGATCCATTTTTAAGTAAATCAAGAACATATTCACTTTTTTTTGTCAATTTTAGTGAATATCAACAAAATCATAGTAAAAATGAATCATCTAGATGTTTTTTCGGGATTTTTTTGTGAATTATGTTATTTTTGATTCATTTAGTGATTCATTTGTTTTTGTTTACCAAAAAAATATGTAGAAGAAAAACTTCTTACCTTCCTACAAAAAAAAATCTTACAGAATAATCACCACCACCACAACCACCACCGCTTCCACCACTATCACCACCTCTGCCACCAGCCGACCCCACCATTGTTACCTCTGTCACCTATACCACTGCCACCTCTTCCACCACCACCTCTTCTGTCACCAACCGTTATAATCATATATGATTATTCAATCTGTGAACAGACATATATGTATAAACATTTATAATTAGACATATAAGTATAAACATGTATAATTATATATGATTATACCTCGCTGACATATAATCATTTATGATTATGCATACTCCGGTGTTGTCGGTACGCTAGAACGTTAGAGCGACAAATGAGAAATATATGGTTGATGTTGAATCTTAAAATCTCTATTTTTTTAATCTCAACTAAACCGTCTAATATATATATATATATATATATATATATATATAGATATATATATATATATATATATATATATATATATATATATATATATATATATATATAGGAAAAGTGAATATACATTACAGCCCACCTAAGCTTAGGTACTAAACCTCATGAAACTACGTCGTTTTATCAGCTAAAGATTGCAATTAGGGAATTCATGATTAACACTTGACATTGCAGATTCAATATTGAAGCAATAATTTTAATAGGGAAGTAAAAATGTTAATTATCTTTGACCTTCATGATGGTGGAAACAGTAATGTTTACTGGCGTGAAGTAATAAACGATAATAGAAGAAAGAAAATATGGATGGTTAAACGATAATAGAGGAAAGAAATCCAATGGAGAATTGTATATTTACCAAGTGAAAACTGAATCGGTTATATTTATTATGATAAAACTGCATAATATAGAAGTTTAGTACCTAAGCTTAAAACCTTATACGTATTATAAATACCGTGAAATACAAGATACGATCTTAAGGTGATCATTAAAACCTTATATGGTATCAGATTAGGTTTTCTATTCCCTTCTTCATCATGGCCGGCGACACCTCCTCTTTTGATTCTTACCTCTCCCTCAACACTATTCTTCATATGATTACAGTCAAACTCTCCCCCACCATGTAACGACGTAAATTTTCAAACAACATTTTTAATTTTTAAAACTCATAATCACATATAATAATTCTCAAAATCTCAAGTGTCGATGTCATAACATATTTCAAAATAGTTTTCAAAAGTAATTATCAAAATCCAGGATCCTCATTCATGACTCTTTTCTCTTGTGTGTACAATCGAGCCGCTGCCTTCCCGCAATCCTGATAAGAACCTGAAGCACATAACACATAACACGGTAAGCACGAAGCTTAGTGAGTTCCCCAAAATACCACATACAACAATTCGCCACTCGAGGCTAGACTCTGTACGACCCTCTGGTCAATGTGTCTTAGCGGGACCCTCCAGTCCCGTAGCTCGTTGGACCCTCTAGTCCGGTCTAGCTCGTTGGACCCTCCGGTCCGGTCTGGTTGAGGACCCTATGGCCTGGTAGATCGTTGGACCCTCCGGTTCGGTCATAATATAGCACAGTTCGTTGGACCCTCCGGTCCGGTCTAAATATCACATAATATAGCACACAGCACATATCACACATGAAATGCATAACTCAGGCAAGCACCTAAGACCCTCTGGTCACACATAATTACCACTCTAGGTAAAGTATAGTGAGAAGACTCACCTCGGGTAACTCGAATGATCTCGAACTCGAAACACTGATCTAGCCTCCGCCTAATCACATACAGAAAATATCTCTACTCAATAAAGGCTAGACTAATCCCTTCCTATGCTCTCTCAGAAGGGTAAAAGACCATTCTACCCCTCCAATGGTCCAAAAGTCCATTCGTTGACTAAACCCTAAAAGTCAACAAAAGTCAACTCTAAGGAGTACGCGGCGCGTACCAGATCCCTACGTTGGGCGTACTCGACCGCTACGCTGATATCGGGCTGCTTGACCCCTACGCCCCGCGTACTGGGATTTACGCTCAGCGTACGTCCTAGTTTCATTATCATCTCACTTATGGTCTTAATCAGTTAAGACCTTGGCTTAAAATACAGATCTGGACCCCCTACAGCCTCCTAATCCATAAAGTTGAAGACTTTACGCCTTTGCATGGCTGTAATGGTCACCATCATCCAAAGCACACCACTCCCTTCACTAAAGAACTCATATCTCATGTATGGCTCACTCCTAACGTCCAAGATTGGATTTTTATGGATTTATAGCACCTTATACACTGAATATGGACAGATCAAGGTCTATGGAGCTTCTTTACTCATAAAGTCTCCACCTTTGGGACAAAAACCCTAGAAATGGTCCATAATGCACAAAGCAAAAAGATTGAGACAGCTCCAAGCTTTTTACCTCTAAATGATGCTCCAACCTCAGGAAGTTCAGATCCAAAGCTTGCCCTCCAACTCTAGCTCCTTCAATGGCACCTCCTTCTCTTCATAAGCACACAAGAACACTTTCAAGCTCAACCACACTCACACAAGCTCTAGAACGAGGGTTAGGGCGCACTTAGGGTTTTGCTCTCTAGAAATGGTGGCTAAAAGTGAGGCTATAATGTTCCTTATATAGGGCTCACCCCCATAATTAGGGTTTCAATCTGAGCCTAGTACGCCCAGCGTACTGGGTAGTCTCCGCATCAAGAATACGCTGATGAGTACGCGCAGCGTACTCTCCCTTACGCCCAGCGTACTCAAAGGCCAAACATTCTTTTCAAGGACCAACTTTGACAACTTGAGGAAAGAAAAGGATCAAGGAGATATATCTGAATGCCGGGATGTTACAATTCTCCCCCACTTAAATTAGATTTTGCCCCCGAAATCGTTATGTTCCTTCGCATAGATCCCAAACAAATAACCTGAGAAGCACAACCGGAAAATCTCTTATCATTCAACGATCCTTCTCCCAAGACATCCGAATCCAAATAAAAATTCCTAAACCGAAAAAGGACGGACCCCTTTTTCCCGTGGAGGTATCTGCTCTAACTCACCAAAACTGGAAGACTATAGTGGTCTGTCTCCCACAAGACCGCCCATGCAGAATATCACCCTGATAATCATTCATCGAATAACAGACTCGGATAAAACACTTCCAACTCTACCCGGTCAGCTCCCGACCCAACGGTTTAACCTCCAACGGCTACCCCTTGCACACCCAAAAGATAACTTTACAACCTTCCTGTTCACAATAGCTACCTCAGCTCATCGTGACGCACAAGTCACGTAGTTCGCTTTACCCCAAGCGAATACTACAATTTATCTGATATCGTCTCACCTTCGACCTCTACCGTCTACCAACCACTGATTCCATGCGTTTCGCATTTCTTCCCATACCGACGAGTTAACTCACTCTGGTTTAATACATCTAATGGAGAACAATACTACTCAAAATGAACCCATCTACGAATCCGAAACCTCATCTTGCCTACTAAACACACGAACGAATCCCGACTCAAGCTCTAGAGTCGGATTCAACAACAGAATTGGGTCCACTCAATTCCAATCTGGTACTCAACTCATGACCCAAGATTCGCAATCCACGCGTACACCACTTCTCCAACTCCCTTCGGTTGTGATAACCACGACTCAACTCAGAATATAGCGATTCCTGACAAATATGGAGACCTCGGCCTCACCACTGGTCCAACCACCAGGCTCCCAAGACTCAATTATTAGGGCTACCCAAGCCTAAAACCCTTCTGCGTCATGCTCTGACTAGTGAGTACTACGGCTCCCCGTAGTATCACAACACCCTCTCGCTGACTAGTGAGTACTACGGCT